GACGGAGGCAGTATGACCTCCGAAACGTTGGTTAACATCGACCAGACTACACAGCGCAATAACCCAGAAGACGGATATCTTTATAAAAATAATGTTACGTAACTGGGCATGCTGGAAACTTTAGCAAAGACAACGATGGGCCGAACACGTAGCTGGAATAGGCGAAAGATAGAATACATATATACTTTCAGAATCAAATAGCGAAATGGATTTATAAGATGAGGACAGGTCTTGGGAAAACATTATCTGAGGTTTACGGTGGATTCAAATGGATGCCGATCGTATAAAATGATGGCTACCGGTTGTTTACTTCGGCGTAGCGTCCACAGATCTGCGGTAAAATACATCATCAAAGTCTAAGGTTTTCTGACGACGCAGTGTTATAATGTGATAAAATTTATACCGGAATACCAGGCGGGACATCTTAGAAGGCAGACATCCTCCTCACATCATCCGTTTTTAAGAGTAAGCCACAAAGAGCACACGCTAATGTCGAAGGAATTTGTGTCACGATCCAATCGATATACGTCAGTCGATTGTATTTACAGGTCACTCACAGGGAGTTAGAGACTCCCTGTTAGTATTTAAATTTAATCAGTTTCCATTAACGTGGATAAATAATTAAGTAAATGTTCTAAAATATCTTAATCCGAAAAGTACAACAGATTGAGAACTTTAAAAACAAAATAAAAAATCTATAAACTGTATACGTTCAAGTACATTTCCAAAAGCATTATTCATTGCAAGTATTACGGCATTTGTATTCAAGTTACGGTAGCATTTTTTCCTGCAGTAGCAAAGAGGAAATATCTCCTTTATAAATAAACGAACTGGATAAAGCAATACGTGGTTTCTACAGCTTTAATTTTTTCGGAGCCATAATGAATATGAAACGACACCGACTTCATTCTGAATAAAAAAAACAAAAAAACTATGAACAATAAACGTGCTGTGTCAGATTTGAAGTCGTCAAGTTGGTAGACATGTCACTGTTGTTATTCTGCGTTCTAACGCAGTGTGAACTTTTACGTAGATGCCGACCTTTCGACGGAACACATTTTTAAACGCCGTGTGAACTTTTACGTAGGTGCCGACCTTTCGACGGAACACATTTTTCAGTCCTGACGATGGTGTCAGTATATTCCTCCGAAACGTTTGTGCATACCTGTCCACTCGGCGTTACGACCCAGGAGATCGACATGGACAGAACGCGAACTCCACAGTTTCTGCGCCAGAAACCTTGCTTTTCGATTACCTTCATTCGCGTTAAGAGTAACCAGTGGCTACGTCACTGCGTCGTAAAGATGCTGTTGCCGTCTCATTAATCAATTCTATACAGACTGTCCATTTAAAATGCAACCCACAAAGAATCAAGTACTACGAGACAAAAGTTGATTCAGAAACAGGTTCGCCCTCATGTCTCGCCCGCGGCTCTAGAGTCAGCGTCACCCTGGTAACTAGACCACTGGTAACACTAGAAGCGCGGCTGCTAACATGGTATATACACGAGCAGAATGTTTTCAAATCGAAACAGTTCGCTGCTGCACGAGATTCAATCATCAACGCGTGTCCTAAAACGTAAATACCGAATTAGACAACAAAAACAGGCGACTGGTAAGAAATTTTCGGGACAGAGGCAGTACTCGTCTCTTACAAAACGCTCACCGATCGACAAAACAACAGTGCACTATCAGAAACAAAGGAATACGGCTACAAGAAATCATCGTTTTGTGCGTGTAGACAGGGTTGCGTTTTAAGTGGTTTGCCCTGCATTCAAGTCTCTCGCTCACAAGTCGACGCTCAACGCCTCGTCTTTTATGTGTTGTGTACCTTGTAAGTGGTCCGGGGCTTGGGCCGTGCCCTTTGTTCCAGGAGGTACGGTTCAAAGTTCACGATCCGAAGGTTCACTCGAAGGGCGGTACGCTGGAGAACACTATCAACGGGCGGACAGACGAGGAAGCCGCGGCCCCAGCACCCCAACACCTCATCCACCCGGGTAAGGACATCAACAAGTTGTACGGAATCACGCCCAGCGACATCGACAAGTATTCTCGAATCGTATTTCCCGTCTGCTTCATCTGCTTCAACCTCATGTACTGGATCATCTACCTGCACATCAGCGACGTCGTAGCAGACGACCTGGTGCTCCTCGACGAGGAGAAGTAGGGGTGTGGACTCCGCACCGCACGACTTCCTCGCATTAATCCTATCACACTTCTCAAAACACTGACCTTAAGTATATTAATTGCAAAAAAAATCAGAGTTAAACATGCCAGGTTATCACATTGCAAATATGTGCTGTATTCTAAAAGAAAAATGACTTCTCCATCTGGCATCCGAAATAGTGCTGCCTGTCCCAGGCTGTGTTTTAGAGTTCTATGATGGAACTTTTTGATGGGTGTAGACGATGAACCATGTAGAATGAAGTGTGTATTCTTCTACTCGATACAGAAAAACCAAGATTAGTAGATTGGACAAAGATATTCAGTTCAAAACGTAGTGTGAACTAGAAACAGTTATGTGTCGGCTTGCATAGACTAGAAACAACCAATCATTATGAGCCGGACCGCGGAAAGCGTAAATTCAATGGCAGTTTCTGAAGCTCATCGTTGCCAAGGAGATTATTTTCCGCACGAGATGCAACTCTTTTGTCTTGTAATGAGGCAAAATCAAGAGTCAACATGACGTAGGAAAGGAAACATAGCTGGTACGCCTTTCTATCCCATCCCCTCGAGTAACACATGGAGTAGACAACTTCCTTCCGTGAATCTAGTCAACGCAAACTTCTCATTCTCGCAAAGAAAACATGGAACAAACTGAGAGGGATTTCTTAACACGTATGCATGGAAAATTACGTAGTTGGTGAGATAGCTTAAGGACTAAGGACGAAGGACGACGTATGCGATTTAGAAGTACTGATTACATTTCGTTAGACCTACTGCAAGCATAAGCTAATATGATTTTTCGCTCTCTCAGCGATATATTTTTAAAATATAGAATATACTGTTACATATATAGATTGAGACCACAATTGTTTATGTGGATACATATATATATACATACATACACGCATAAATAGTTGTATCTGACTTGTCGCCCTAAAGTAACGTAACTTTAAATTACAAGTGAACCGCCAAATTCTAGTTTTATTAATCCCGTGTAAGATTTGACGTTTTCACGGCGGTGAATACTAAGATGGCTGTCCTATGGGTTGTTTCGCCGTGCAGTCTCGTAGAAGTTTACCGATGTTTCAGAGGTCTTAGCTGCCTCCATCGTCAGGGTGATCGCTTTGATGACGGAGGCATCAAAGACCTCTGAAACGTCTGTAGACTTCTACCAGACTACAAGGCGCAACAACTCAGAAGACAGCCATCTTTTTTATCATTCCCGTCTGCGTATAGTTTATGACTGTGTTATGTTTTGACGGAGGCTGGATCTCGAGTTGGCTTGTTAATTGTTGAGATAATATTCTAATAGAAAAAAAAGAGATGGCAGTGCATATGCTCCACAGAATCCCTAGTAATACTTACTCCATGTGGTTATCGTCCCCCTGCCCTCCTCCAAATACTATGTACAGATGATTTTATACAAAAAAAAAAGAATGTATTTAAAAACGTGATTCAGATAAAGAAAATGAAATATGTATATATATCAAGTATATTACACAATAGGCCGTATGGTAAATCAAACATTTATAATTAACCACTAGTTCTAAAATCTCGCCTGGCTCATGTTTAAGGAAGCATGGAAGTATTCCTCTCAATGACAGTACGCGTGAGTGCATGTTAAGCGAAGTTAAAATATAAAAAATTTGGGTTATGTAAAAGACAACACTAAAAGTTCGGGGTATATACGTGGTGGTTTCGAACACATTTTTTTCTGGTTTCTTCACAGATGCATTTCACGAATTACCCCCCCCCCCCCTTTCCATGCTCCTACTGCTGCGAACTAAAATCTCAAATCGATTTTAAATTCACTTGAAAACATAATCACTATTACTTATTCTTTTAAGTAATCTCTTTGATATAATTAAATATATACAACTTTTAAAAATTAAACCCACAATGTAGCCAACCACACATAAACATTCCAGTGCACAAGACACAAAAGAGAAGAATATATATATATATATATATATGAGTGTTGTGATGACGTACTTTCAATCAGACGTCATTCAAAAAACTGCCATTTTTATAATAAAACAGGGAGAAACTACAAAGATGCAGCCACCACTTCAGCGTGGTCCAGTGCAATGAAATGTAAACACCTCCTTGCATAAAACAAAAGAACCTCATTTCGAGTATTTAAATTATTTATGGATCGTCATCGTTATTATACGAAGTGTCACTTCAACTTCACAGCAAGAAACTGATATAAAGCGTTTCAAAAAATTTTAACATGTGTCACTGTCGCACAAAAGAAAAATTGACGGTGACAGAATTTTTCTTACGTTTCTGTCTACTTATAAACAAAAACTAACATTACATATGGCACCATTTAAGAACACTTCATATACCATTCAGCAGCGAAAGAAGGAATGAAAAAATAAATCGGAATGTTATTATTAATTTATATCTAGAATATATCTAGTCCTATTTTATTGATTCCATAACATGTAATTACATTTAAAAAACTAGGCTTTTGTCACCACAGAGCAATGCAGTAGCAGCTGCCCGCTCTGTCTTGCTTAAACCTTCTGGAACATCACAAAACGATACGAAACCTGAATGTAAATAACTTTACGTATTCTATCCAAATGAACGAAACATTGTTTTCAATCTCACAGTAGTTAATCACAGAGTTGTAGCATCGAGTCTACATTATTAATATTGTTTAGGCCACTTTTCATATACGGGATGTAATAGCTTATAGCTACCACCATAATAACGAAGAAGGACTTTAACCTCGAAGTATAAGTTTCTGAAATGGCGAAGAGGATACCAACATTGCAACAAAACACTTCATCATTCTTTACTGTATAACAAGGCTAAAGTCCTTCTCAGTACGTACGTTATATATATATATGTGATAAAAAAATAAAATGGTATTACATTTGTATATAGTAATCTGTGGACAGCCACAGGCAGTCGTCTATTGTTCTGACTGTTGGACGCTATGAACGCGCCGTACCAAACGACGCTGACAACTCAGCGTCCCTTGGTGCGGTGCTGAGCGTACAACGAGGATGTTTGTTAAAACGACATTTTCCTCGGTGAAAAGTCTACTCATATTGCTCAACAAACAAACAAACCAAAAATATATTATTAAAATGCATAAACATTACATGGCAGGTGATGCATCTGTTAATAGGTTTGTGGCTCTAAGCAATATCTGGGGTGCCTGGTACATTCCTTCTCCCTCCACCCCCCACTGTCTCACTCACTCTTACACCTTAAACACGACTCCTTGAGTACATTTTTACATTTCCCATGTCCACTGAGCCCAATACTTCATTCATCCATCTATTCGAAAGTTAGATGTCCCTTATCAAAACCCCGCCGCTGGTGAGTGACCAACACATCTAAATGCACTATCACAAACACACACACACACACACAGTCCCTGCTCCTCTTAAATGCACTATTACAAACACACACACACACAGTCCCTGCTCCTCACTGGTGAATTTTTAATGAGATTAAACCCCATCAAGATCCATAATGATGATTCCAATATCTGCAGATACATAATAGACTACATATTAATTCTAAAGGACTAAGAAATTTAAAAAAAAGTAATCCCGTGTTTACGGAAAGGGAGACAAAGTGTTATACACTGACAAAGCTTTTAGACCTAACAACTTGTAGATAACAGTGCTTCTATGTGGAAAAACAAACAAAGTGTTGTGTTTATAAGAAATAAAAATGAAACACTGTGAAGTAAAACTGCAGTATATTTTGTGGGGGAAAAGCTCACAATTGAATATTCTAAATACGGAGAGGAAGTTAGTAGAAACTTCATATAAATATTTGTTTGTCGTTTTTATTTCAATAAAAGTAATGAGAATCACTTAAAAGTGTTTTATTACATCTTTCATTTCAGATCTGTAGCACAAAACGCTTACTCAAATAACAGAAACGAAGCAGTAAGCGAGTTGTTACAAAGTTAACCTAAATCACGTGGCCCAGAGGTACTTAACACTTGCATTTTTTTTAGACAGAAACACCACACGACGCCTTCCCAGCGAAATCTCGATTCCTCAATTATTTCTGCAGATCACACAGAAATAGTTTCTTTGTTGATTTGCCCCTCAGTTTATTGATTGCTTCACAATTCAGATTACGTATATTTAATACAGAAATAACAGAATAGATACGAGTCATAAAATCAAACGTAACTTTTGGGTAATAAAATGTATATTCCTGGCCCGATTGAAGGAAAAGCACTAAACCGGAACTTAAGTTGTGAAGGTTAACTTGCATTGCATCTCTCACTGAATGTTGTTACCCTCCTCAGTCATAATTAAAGTAAAGTTTGTCCCACTACACGCCATGTAGGCGCTTGGGAGGAGTGGAGGTATAGCTCCTCTCTTCCTTGACCTCGGCACTAGATGAGAATTTCTGCATCGAAGCCGGCGTTACTGGGATAGTATCTTCCACGGAACGGACTCTACAAATCTGTTTCAATCTAAATGCAAACAAATTACGCCAGATGACCGGAATACCTTGCGGATACCGTAAAAGAACACTTTTACATCTAAATCACAAGCCAGATGACCGGAATATTTTGCGGACACCGGAAAAGAACACTTTTACATCTAAATCACACTATGGTTGATCACTGCAGAAAATCAATAAATTAGATATCGGAATGAATTTGTTCAGTCCCTCTGTGCTAATACAGGAAGGATTCCCTTCAACAAGTTAAATCCGCTCAGTGTCTTAACACTCCACACATGCATCCGTCCTACTTAAACATCTGAAGCCAATACTCGTCTAAATACTATTAAAATAATCCAGCCCGTACCGCGGAGAAAACACACTTCGTCTTCATTACACAGACGACGTAGACAATCCTGTCCGAGGAAAAGTCGATGTTCATTGTGAGGAATCCATGTATAAATTTTTCGGGCAAAATGCTCAGTTTGTGACTCTTTAAAAAAAAAATGTGGTACACATAGTTACCACTGGCCTTTCGAGGGTTATATGGTAATTACCACTCGCCGTTTCCAGCAGCAAACCTCCTACAACTAAACGTTATACAAATAATATTTTAGGAAATTCTACGTCAGTGTTTTAACAACTTTCAGTGATTAATTACAGTCTGTGTAAAAAATAAATACTAGCAGATGTCACAGAGGTTAAAAGCTTCAGGAAAAAGTCTAAACTGGAACACCCCAGAGGACAGCTGAATAAGAAGGATTCTCTGCTACGTACATCGCTTTCTTACACAAATTCATCGCAGTGCAGAATCAATAATAATATTTTCCAACCTATGGTACACGATTACAACAAAAATGAATTTTATTAAATTTAGTGCGCCAAAGAATACACTGCTAACAAATTACATTTTTTTAGAAAATTCAGAATCATAAATTTATCGAACCGTGCCGAAACTTCAAACCCATAAAACTAACCAACTCACTAAAACAAAGTCATTAAGCTGATAGTCGCTCAGCTAGTAAACACAGGCCTACAGAACACTAGTTAATGCTAGGAAGGATCATACGCCAACTGCCATCTAACAGCTATTTATGCAACTATGCGCAGGAAGTCACGAACGCTCATTAATTTCTTAAACAATCGATCCTGTTCCTTAATTTGTTAAACCTTTTAAAGCCTAGGGGTAAATTCTTCTCTACGCACCAGTAACGCTGAATTTTGTATTTAAGGGGTATCGTTTAATTAAAAATGCTGTAAAGAACCAACAACTTTATGAAGTAGATTCGAAAAGTAATTTATGATGGACTCAATCATCACGTCCGACGCGTGGATAAAAGATTCCAGCGAAGAAATGAAGGTTCGAATGCAAGAAACCGCTTCAACGCCCATTTTACACAGCAGCCGAAACGTTTTCAGAATATAAAACCAACTGTCAGCTTCTTTCCTTGTTATAAGATATCTAACTCCACGGAGCAGAGTGCTTCTCTGAAAAATCTTATATTACGCTCAGGTAGCCTTTTATGGAACCAAAATGTTCATCATCGCGTTCGGAAGGCTCACCGCCGGTTCGTAACCCAAAGCCACATGAATCCAATCCGATTTCCCTAACGTTCATCATCGTGTTCGGAAAGCTCACCGCCGGTTCGTATCCGAAAACCACATGAAT